TCAGGCAATCCTTCCACCTCAGCCTTCCAAGTAGCTGAAACTACAGGTGTGTGCCACCACGCCTGGCTAATTTTTTGATTTCTGCAGAGACGAGGTCTCACCATGTTGCCCAGGCTGGTCTCGAACCCGTGGGCTCAGGCCATTCTCTCACCTCCACCTCTCAAAGTGCTGAGATTACAGACGTGAACCACTGTGTTCAGCTCAAGTCTTATTTTAAAACCCAATTCTTTCTATGGGTAGATAGATCTTCACATCAAGATAGGCTGGGCGTGATGTCCCATGCTTGTGATTCCAGCACTTTGGGAGGCCAAGGCAAGAGGATTGCTTGAGTTTAGGAGTTCATTATCAGCCTGGGCAGCATAAGGAGACCTAATCTCTACAAAAAATGTAAAAATTAGTTGGGTGTGGTGGCATGCACCTCTAGTCAAAGCTACTTGGGAGGCTGAGGTGGAAGGATCGTTTGAGTCCAGGAGGTTGAGGCTGCAGTGAACAGTGATTGTGCCACTGCATTCCAGCCTGGGCGACAGAGTGAGACTCTGACAAACCAACAAACAAAATCCCAGCAAGTGTGGCAAGGATGCGTCATGAGTGGATGAACAGTTGCTAATTCTGTGGAGAACCAGACACAATCAGAATTGAGGGATAGAATTGGTCAAAGGGTACTTTAGCCTTATCATCTGTAAAGTCTCTAGTTTTCACAAGGAGATTGTATCATGTATTTGTTACTTGTCAGATATAAAAACAAATGAACTAGTTCAATACAAGGAAACCTTACCCAGACTTCCCAGGCAAATGGAGCTGTTTCCTTTTCTGAGATCAAATAGCACCCTTACCCTGTGTTCTAGAAAATACTGTTTTATTGTGTTTTGTATGTGCCCCTCTTTCTCCCTCTGAGATGGAGAACCCCCTTAAAGGTAAAAACTTGATCTAATTTATGCTCCCAGTGTCTAGCAAAGTGGCTCAGAGCAGGTGCTCAGCAAGTGCTGAATTCAATGAAGTGCCTTTACTGGCAGGCTCTTTTGAAAGTGCTCGCTATGGGGCAAATCTGGTGCTAGTTCTGCCCGAGAGGCTTATTGTAGTTGTTTTCACAGCGTTGAAGGAAGAATGTCTCCAAGAGTCTGAAATGTGGGCAGAGAAGTCCCCAGGCATTGGGTTGTGCCAATATGAGGACAGGGCATTATCTGAGCCCAAGGCTCCACAAGGCCAGAATCCAGTGCAATGCTACTGACTTGTCACTCGGCATGCTTCTAAAGCTACTGCCTTCTCAGCAGTTAATCAAAGGGCAAGGACTATATCCTCAAATGTTGAACTTGTCAACCCCAATCCTGATCTGTATCTTTAAGATGGAGAAGCCAGCTCAAGCAAACAGGGTGGGCCAGGGGAGTAGGAGTTAGGGAACACTCAGACCAGCTGAGTGTCCCAGGCTTGGAGAGTTGAGTAGCTGTATGAGGAGCTTGAAGAAGACACCTGGAATTCCAGTTTAATGCTGGGAATCTATAGTTTGTACAATTTTCTAAAGAAATCTGAGCTCCCAGGTCACAGGATCCTTCTTAGGTCTTATCTATTGCACATAGGCAAAAGGGCAAAGGAATGGCCTTAATGGGTCAATTGGATTGGGGCTAGAGAGTGGGTGGGGATGGCTTTTAGAATTGGAGAAGTGTGTGCAAGTGGTCAGGGATGTGCCTTTAGACTTGGGTGCGCAGATGGTGAGGAGGCTGCAGAAGGGTCTGCATCAGTCTCTCTTACAATAATGCTCCCAACCAGCCCCTGTGCACAACCTCGAATAGGACAGTGTTCCTGGAGTCTTAGATCAATGAAGCTAGGGACGTGGACACCTGACATGGGACTACTGAGGAGATAATGGTAGTGGTGGTGGCAGCAGAAATATGGTGAATAGCTCCCTTCATCCCTCCCCACTTCTTCCATCTCATCCAGCTCCTTCCCAGCTAGCCACCCAAAACCCCACCGTAGGTCTCAGAATTATTAAACATCAGACCACACTACACACTTTTAGAGCTCAATGAAGAATACCTCCAGTTGGCCCATCTCTTTGTAAGTAACTTTTATTTTTATTTACAGCAGAATTGGTGGCTTTATTCCTCCATCTTTAGAGACACTTGGCATTAGCAGCCAGATGGAAAGTCCGCAGTGAAGTCAAACTCATTCTGCCCCAACCACAGCTCTGGAAGCTCATTGGCTCGGTCCAGTCCCAGTTCCACCACCAGCGACATCAGCACTTCCTCATCCACCGGGTCTGAATCGATGATAGCAGGGCTCTGGGCACCGGTAGAAGGAGAGAGTGATCCCGCCCCTCCCCCCTGAGCCCCAAAGCCCCAGTTTTGCAGGGGCCCTGCCTCCCCGGGTTGGCCTGGAGTGGCGGTGGCCATCCCATGATACTGGCTATTAAGTTTCTGCAGTTGCATACTGGCTAGCAGGTGAGGGGCAGGGTGCAGGTTGAAGGGTGGGGACTTAGTGGAGGGGGTGGCAGTAGGAGAGCCTATTGGAGATGGAGATCCCGAGGAACTAGTGGGAGCCCCACTGGCCTTGGTTCCATTTGAGGCTACCGCAGGGTAATGCAGAATGGCCACTGCTTTGCGGTCTTTAACTGCCAGGTTAGAGTAGGCCAGAGAGCTCATCTCTTCGCTGGCATCCTAGAAGACAGAGAAAAGCACACCATAGTACCCCTGCTCTTGGGTTATCCCTCACCATTCATCAAACCCGGAAGGTTCCTACATGTGCTTCATTTGGGGCTAGAGGTAGGGAAGTAGCAAGAGGACCCCCTCAAAGACTGGCCTTCTAGCCCAAGTATCCTTTTGCTACCAGGCTCTCAGCACTGAGGTCAGACTCTAATTCTAGTACTGAGGTACCTGTCATTCTAACTGGGTTCACTGCTTTCGACTCCCTCCCCCTGCACTCCACCTCACCATCCTAAAAAGGGCATCTCCTTGTCCTTCATCTCAGCCGCACTTTAATCTCTTTGATGAGTGGTCTTGCTCCAATTCCACTTCTCTGTTTCCTTTCCTGCCATCTTTCAACATCCCTAGTGGGTTCAATCTGACCATGTTTAGGCTGAAGCTATCTCATCTCCCAGAGAAATCCCTGCTGTCTCCTCTCTGTTCAAGGACGCTAGATAGCACACCTGGGAGAGCCTAGCACGTGGTCCCAGAAAAGTTCGTCTTTCCATGCCTCTGTGTTTCCATCTGTAAAGTGGAAAAAAATTACCTCTTTCACAGGTGAGGTGCCACCCTTGACATCAAGTGCAGGCCTCGACATCGTTGGCATTTCAGAACCTTGGCAGAAGTTGGATAAGTTGGCAGGAGGTGATGCTGCCAGCTGGAGCTGTTGTGCTGCATGTGAGGGAGAAGAGTTGGTAAGGGCAAAAGGTGTCACTGACCAAAGAGGCACTAGTAAAGCCCGAAGCAGGACAATGCTACACAGTTACCAGGCAAGGATGGTGACAAGGTTAAACCCAAGATCAGAGACCACCTGAGCAGAGAGAGGAGATCAAGCTAAAACTTTTGCCGAAAACGGGAGAGGTGCTTGATTCAGCCAGGTGTTGCCCAGGCAGCCAGTTACTCACATTGCTAAGAGGGGACACACATGACTGTTTTCTCATGCATGCGATTTCAGAGTCTCAAATTGTGTGTGTGTGTGTGTGTGTGTGTGTGTGTGTGTGTGTGTGTATTGGGGTATTGGGGTGGGGGGAGGTACTGTTCCTGGTTCTGAGGGCAGGAATGTCCCCGAGTAAGCAGCACACGGTCTCAATGGGCTACTAGCATTTGGGCTGGAGCACTGGGGTCTCCATTGGGACTGGGAGAAAGTGGAAAGAAGTCAGGGCAAGGAAGACTTAGAAAGCAGGAGGCTGCTGCACAGGGAAGGAACAAGTCCCCAAAGCAAATGTCATGGGACTCCAAGGCTCCACCTTGGGTGTTGCCTGTGAGAAGTCAGGATGATCAGGGTGGTCTGGGGGTTCTGAGGCAGCCAGAGCCAGAGTAGCTAGAAATGTCTCACTTTCCTCCATGTCTCAAGTCCCCTCCAAGATAGCCCAGCATTGTACTTTCCTAGGACACCTGCCCCAGAGCCCTGAGCCCAGCTACATTATTCTTCTGGGAGGGAAACGAAGGTACAGAGATTTAATGGCTTTCTAGTCAGGTAGTAGTGGTTCTGGGAGCAGGATTTAGCACTCCTATGCCCACATGCCTCACCTGACCACTGGCCAAGTCATCATACTTGGAATGACTCAAATGGCTTCTGAAGAAATGATTCCTTGGCTTAAGTGTCAAAGGATAAGGAAATAAGGGCAAAAGAATACCCAAAACCAGAAAACAAGAGACCTTCGAAAAGTCTTGTAATTTTTTAGAAGCTTGTTTAAAAAAAAAAAAAAGGTCCACAGGTCAGCACAGTGGTGCCTGCTTGTAGCCCCAGCTTCTTGGGAGGCTGAGGCAGGAGAATCACTTGAGCCCGGGAATTTGACACCAGCCTGAGCAACATAGTGGGGCCCCTCTCTCTTAAAAAAAGCCCCACATTTTCTAACTTTCATAATCAATTTAGAGATGTAGAATTTCACATTTAAAAACACCTCTTGGTCCAAAGACTCTTGAGGATTTTTAAAAGGAGCCTCAAATCTTTTCAGGGAGGTTAGACTTCTCTATGACACCCCCCATCCGGTGGTCATTAAGAATTTGTTCAGACACTTTTAGGAAGTGGCTACTTATTACCTTTCTGCATCATTTTTGCATTGTTTACTTGGGAGGGTAGCTGGGGGGGCAAGAAAAATAGATTAAGAAGAAACTTTTTTTTTAAATAAGGGAAAAATCAGTTGCTGGGTCCCACATCACTGCTTGATTGGAGCCCTCCTCCTTCTCTGAGGCAACCTTAGAATATTTAAAGCAAGTGATCAATAGACAAGGAGTCTGATGCATGTTGTTTTCAAGGACCACCAGTATCCGGCAATTTTCCTGTTCTAAGAAAAATGGGGGCCCTGACCATCTTTTCCCGTTCCAGCCTTCCTTCTTTATGCTGCCTGGCACCTGAATGTACAAAAAAAAATCCCTCCAAGCAGCAGCAGTAGCAACAAAACAGAAAGAAAAAAAAAAAAAAAGACAGAGAGAGAGAGAACAAGCAAAAAGTATCCCTGTTCTATTATTAGTTCATGAGGAAGACCATTTTACCATGTCTCCCCCTTCGGGCTGGGAGCGCTCCTAGGAAGGACCCCTGTCTCCATTCAGATCTGTCACCTTCCATCACTGCCCTACCACCCGCCCAGACTTCGGGCCTGGGTCTGTGCTTCGTAGGCGCTCAGTAAGTGTTGTTGAGTCCACTGAAGAGGCAATCTCATCTCGATCGGTATCCCTGGGTCCTGCTTCCCCGATTTTCTGTCCTTCCCCCCCATCCCCCCACCCCCCCGCAGTCCATTCCAGCGCAAAACTTGATAGCGCAGAAACGTCCCAGTCGGCTCTCCAAAGCCGCGAGCTGGCCACTGCGAACCCGCTTGTGAGAGGCGGCTGGGAAACCGAGAGCAACAAGTGCCTCCTCACCGGTTGGCGCTTCGCCCCCACCCCGTCCCCCACCACCAGTTCCAGGTCCCACCGCCCGCCCTTCGCTTCAGATCTTCCCTTGGGCGGGGAGCCCCCTCCCGCGTAATAGGGGTAGGAAAGGGGAGTGGAAAAAGAGAAGGGAGAGGCAGGTGGAGGGGAGAGGAGGGCTCGTCTTTAACCTGTTGGGAAACCAAAAGTTAAAATGGCACCAACCGGATGGTTCCATCTCGATTGCTATTTTCTCACTCAGAAGGAGAAATTTAAAAATCCAAACAGCACTGCGGCTTGGCTTGGACGCGCTCTAACCAGACCAGTCAGTTTCGCCACCTGAAAACTAAAGGCCCGTTGTTTGCGGACAGCTCGTCTCCTCTCCTCGCCGCATCCCAGATGCAGCCGCCGGGACTGGGGGCGGCCGGGAGCATCCCTGCACGGTAGGAGCGAGTACCCAGGCCACCAGGGCCCCGGGCGTCCGTTCCCTCAAGTGCTGCATCAGGAACTGACCGTAGAGACAGGATGGGCAGGCGGGAAGGGGTGCGGGATCTCGGCCTCGGCGAGTTTGGGTCCCGCGGCGTTTCCGCGCGCGGGGGTGCACTCCGCGCCAGCGGCCACTCCCGCGCCTCACCAACACCTACTGAGCGCCTGTAGAGCATCCGACGCGGCCGCAGGCTGAGCCTACCCCTAGCCAAGCCGCCTGCGGTCAGTGTTAAAACCCCGATAAAAGAGAAATCGCAGAGGTGGGGTAACTTGCCCAAGGTCACAGCGCTAGAAAGTGGCGGAGCCGGTAGTCGTAGCCGGGTCTCTGCCTCCAAGTCCGATGCTCCGCGAGGCAGGAACTCGGCGCGCGGCTCGGCCGCCCTCGTTTATAGAAGAGGGGTGTGTGTGTGTGTGTGTGTGTGTGTGTGTGTGTGTGTG